ACCTTAAAATCATGTGAGAGCAAACCTGTGATTAAAAACTTTTGTAAGGACAATTAAAAAAAAATTTCTAACCAGAGCCTAAGGCAGACACAAGATTCCTTGTTATCTTTCTACTCAGTTGGGTGTGTTTTTTCCTAGACCAATTTCATTAAGGGTATAGTAGAGGATATCTCTCTCAACTTATACCTTTAGGTGATCTCAAGACTACCTCATGGCCCATGTGGTTACCGTAGTCAAAGCACTTTTGGAACTATCTCTCCACAATGTCTTGGGAAACTCAAATCTCAGCTTCTATTTGCATCTCTAGTTTTCAATTTCTTATTTGTTTTGTTTCTTGCAGATTTCCTTACCTTGTGAGTTCAATGTATTCATGTATAAATAATTTTTAACATTATAGCTTACCCAGGATATCTATGTTTTATAGTTTTTTTTATTGTTTTCTTGTCTTCTGTCTTGCAATAAGAATGTCTTGCTTGTGGTTCATTTATTTATACACAGATCTAAAGATCAAGCGGCAAGACAATACTTTAGGTTTCAAAATTTAGCTAGGATGGTGGTTAAAATAAATGGGTATGAAGTTTAGGTAGGATTAGTGATAGGACAGAGAGGAGACCTAAGGAAATCAGATAAAGGGAAGTAGAGAACAATATGAGATCATAGAAAAGAAAGAAATGAGGACAAGGAAATAGAGAAGAGAAAGAAAAGACTATGCAAACAGAAATGAACAGAAACACAAAGTTAAAGAATGTTAAAGTTGAAACGGAATTAGGAAATATCAAGGTCTTCCAATTCAGTCATTGTTCAGTGGGGTATTAATGCTTCTAGTAAGAGGTACACCTAGGAGTTTATTCTACCTCTCAGTCTGGGACCTTCTCACTGCTGTAGAGGTGAGAGGGAGGGGGACCCATGCTACAGACAGGAACTGCTGCTAGAAATCAGATAGGGAAAAGAACAACAACCAGAGCTGAAAGAGAAGTGAAAGGCCCTGTGAAGGGCATGTGATTGTGGAAGGCGATGAGGTATCTCTAATAAGGAAGTGGACAGAGGCTGAGTATTCTGCTGCTGGGGAAGGGGATGAGAGAACAGAGTGTGAGCCTGTGTGGGATGGGGGCATGACATCAGAGTCCTGAGGAAAGCTCTCTCCAGGGGGAGCAAAATCACCCACTGGGGTGGACTTAGGAGAGTGACAGATAAGAGCCCAGGCAAAGGCTAACATGAGGATGCCTGTGGCCCAAGCACCCACAGGACTAGTAGAGGAAAGACTAGTGACAGGAAGAATACAGGGCTCCCCAGGATGGCTGAGACCCTCTGCTCAGGCTGGGTTCTAACCACAGGGTGTCCCACCTATCTCAGATAACTGTATTAGGATTTTGTGTGGCCAGAGAGCCTAAATAACCATTTCCTTTTTTCTCCATTGAATTTTATATTAATTTCAGATTCTTCGTACATCATTATTATTTTTTTTTTCCTTTTTGTCTTTTTCTTTTTTTACTGACCGGCAACGGGATCGCAACCCTCGGTGTTGCTCCTGCACCTCGCTCAGCCAGTGAGCGGCCGGTCTGTATGTGGGATCCGAACCCTCGGCGGGAGTGCCGCCGCACTCCCAAGCAGAGCACTGTAGCAGTGCGCCACCGGGCCGGCCCGAGATTCTTGAATCTATATGTATTCACCAGTATAAAGAGTCTGCCAGTTTCCCTTCTTACACGAACTACCTCCTCTGTCCCCTTTGGAGGTTGATATATGTAAACATTTGGATATAAAATTGATGTGCTTAGGAGTTTGGATTGTTTATGTGAAAGCAATTGAAATATTTTAGGCCTGAGATTGACATGATCAGGTTCACATTTCATATAGCAACTCTGAAGTAGGGAGCAGAATAGATGTGGAGAGATTTGGATTGTGATGCACCGTAAGGAGTTGTGGCAGTAATCTAGGTTACACATTATGAAAGCAGAACTGAATGCCTGTGAGGTTTGAGAGGGAGAGCCAGATTTTGGAAATTATGCAGATAAATGTCATGGTGACTGTGGGGAGTAATGGAGAAGTAAGTTTCTAAAGGAATGCAAGTTTTCAGGTTTCTGTTTGGATAATCGGATGAATATTACCATAGTAGGGGGTGATGGTGTTATCTACTCTACTAGCTCCCCTGAAGGAGAATTTTCCTTAAATAATTTTTGTTTCTTTCCTCAACCGTTACTCTTTCCTATGAAAATAGAGTGAATTATCTCTTTGGTGAATCTAGGACAGAAACAGGCATCCATATCTGACCACCTTCCCTCCATGCTTTACCTCTCGAGGCAAGTTGCTCTCAGAAGTTTCGTTTCTGGTCTTCTCCATGTCCGTGTCCTAATTGTCACAGGAGCATCCTGAACTAAGTGAGTGTGTTAGTCTTCTTGGACTTCCATAACAAAATACTATGCTGGGTGGCTTAAACAAAAGACATTTATTTTCTCACAATTCTATAGACTAGAAGTTCAAGATCTTAATCTGGCAGATTTTGTTTCTGGTGAAGCCTCTCTTCCTGGCTTTCCGACGGCTGTCTTTTCACTGTGTGCACATGTGATCTTTCCTTGGTAGGTGCACGCAGCGAGAGAAAGAAAGTGTGTGTGCTCATGTGAACATATTCTGGTGTCTCTTCTTCCAGGGACGCTAATCCTCTTCGATCAGGGCCCCACCATTAGGACGGCAGGTAACCTTAATTACTTTTTTAGAGGCCCCATCTCCAAATACAACTGTACTGGAGGTTAGAATTTTAACAAATATATTCTGGGGGAGGGATGCATGCAGTCCACAGCAGTGAGAAGGCCACTCCATTTGGGATCCAGTACTAGCATGATCACCTGGATTATACACTTATGGCTAATTATCTAGCAGCTCTATCAGAAATAAAGTTTGATAATTTAATCCATTTATCTCATGCTATCTTTATTTCATTTGGTTCTGAATTTAAGAGGAGGAAATGATGCTCCTTACTGAGTTCTATAATGTTAACCAGTATAGCTAGGTTGTATTGCAGTTATAAATAAACTTTAGAATCTTAGAGGCTTAACACAAAGTTTAATTCTCATGTGGGAAAACTCCATATAGATAAGGCAGCCCCTCTCCATCTCACAGCTCTGTAAGTTTGAATATTTGGCCTCCAAACTGGTTCTTCAGGGTGATATAATCTGATGTGATATTTTAAATGGTGAGGTCTGGAGGTGGTTTACCTCTCTAGCACCACACATTTCATTGTCTAGAACTCAGTCTCATGGCCCTAACACAATTATAAGGGAGTAGGAGGATTGTCTTTTTCCTGTAGGCCCATGGAGAAAAAAAAAAAAAAAATTGGTAAACACATAGCATTGTGTCTGTTATAGCTTTCTAAAACCACAAACTAAGAGCTCACCATTGACAGGAAGATGCAGATAAAGATGAATTGTGGTGCTTATGAGTGATCAGGCTATAACTTAAACTGTGTATTGCTCTTAAAAATATTTGTAGCTCATAGAAATTGCCAAATATCTGTGGTCGTAATAGAAAGAGCTCATCGAGAGTGATTTCTAGTCTCATTACTAATGTTGGCATATCTTAATAAGAAATAGCATCTATCAATACATCATGTTGTAAACTGTAAATATATACAATAAATATAATTTTAAAAAGAGACAATGCTACAAATGGGATTTTAGGTGACTTCTCCAATGCATTCAGAGAATGTTCGATATTATTTAAGAGACACTATAATAATAAGTGTATTCCCTGTATCTCAAAAAACATTTGTATTCATGTGTTCACACATATTAAGTAGTCAGAGTCACTGAACAATCACTAAGTACCTCCATGAAGTACTTAAATAAATCCAAATATTGACAAATGTTGCCCATTTGTGACAATGTATTTTGATCAGCTCACAAAATTTAACTTAAATATACATTTTATGGTCTCCCCATGTGTGCATCCTTTTGAAAAGCTATGTGCCTTAATTACCATAATCATACACAATTATATATTGCCCAGAATTTAGATCTCAATTGCAATGTACACTGTTCTTCTAGGACTTCAAATTCTAAACACTGCAGGGGTTAGACAGTTGAAATACTTCTCTAGAGAATATTGTTCTAAACAGGTTTGTATCTGGGACTCTACACATTGAAATTAAAATTGTCACAACACATTTTAATTCTTGGTTTAAACATAGTTCTTCTGTAGTTTAAATCTCCTTGAGAGGAGAGACCACACTGTCAATCTCTGTATGTTCACATGCCTAATAAGATACTTAGCACCAATCATGTATTGAGTGATGTTTTAGTGAGTGAATATATGGATTAAACTCGATAGATAGACTTACTTATATTTTTCATGGTCCTAAGCACTGTGAATGGCTGCAATTTCATCTCTAAGGACAATGAAGAATGGACTATAGTTTATACAGTTGCATTTGGAAATCACAGGAGATAAGAGAAAACTAATTCTCCAATTTACAAAATAATTTGTGAAAATCAAGAAATGGTAAAAGATGGAGGAACCAGGGGTGACATGGTCAAGGGAAGACTTTGAGGGAGAGAAGGATGGAGCAATGAGAGGAGGGGACATGATGGAGAGTGGAGAGCACTGTGATTGGTTAAAACAAGCAGGACCCAGGAAAACCGTGCAGCTTCTCCTTTTTACTTTACAGATGAAATGCAATACCCAGAGAGGTGAAATGACCTTTCAGTATCACACACCACTTTGTCCAAAGCAGTTGATAAAAACAAGTAAGTACGATGGAGCTTAGTGATCAGGAGAGCAGCTGGAATCCAGAGAGGAAAGAAGAGTTCAGAACTGGAGAGGAAATGAGAGTTTGAGTAGGAGGGCCAAGTTTGAGGGAAGCAGCAGATTTTCTTAGTTGCCATCAGTGGCTTGTGGGGAACATTATCTGTTGGAGAAAGAAAGAAGTCAGTCTAGAGATACAAAGGAGTAGATTTGCTGAAAACAGAGATCAAAAACCAGCTTTGCTGAAAGAAACATCTGCAAATGACATGCTGCTTCTGCAATTTCCGTTGCTAGCTGTTCTCCTCGCAGGTGGTGACAATGCAGATGGTAAGAACATCTCTGTCGGCTTCCTGGTTGGGTGGATTTGGGCAGAGTGTGGTGAGCTTTTCTAAAAAGGACCACCGAGGATACCGGGGTGCTTACCATCTAAGCATCCCGGTCTCCAGGTCCAGTTTACTCTTCTGGAGGATGATGACAAACAATGGGGCCCTGTGTGAGAAAAATCATCACAGCTAAGCTACTTATTAAACCTTTCTTTTCTCTCCATCCTGCTTTCTTATTTTTTTTTTTTTCTTACACTGCTAGGCCTTCTACCACCCACAGTGGTCCAGGAACCCATCTCATTCTATCTCATCCAAATCTCATCTTTTGCCAATCAAACCTGGGCACAAAATCAGGGCTCAGGATGGCTGGACGAGTTGCAGACTCATGGTTGGGAGAGTGAATCTGGCACAATAATTTTCATGCACTCCTGGTCCAAGGGCAACTTCAGCAATGAGGAGTTGTTAGACCTGGAAATGCTATTCCGTGTCTATTTCATTGGATTAACTCGGGAGATTCAAGATCGTGCCAGCCAATTGCAGTTCATATGTAAGTTCTATAAATTCAACTAATGGAATTCTTTGAAGTTCTTCTATTCCTGGGAACTATTCTCTGTTTCTTTCTGAACTATTCCCAATTATCCCATCCCACCATAAAGATCTACATGCATAAACTTCTGAGGGGATATTCCAGACATTGACTCCTCAAAATTTTCTAGACTTGCTGTTTTTGTAATATTTTATTCTTATCCTTTGTTATCTTCCCCTGTGGCCTACAATTCAGAGGCACAAACTGTTCCACTCTGTGCTTGACTTCCATAAAATATGGCCTCTTTTCCCATTCAGTTTCTTCAAATATCTATGTCCAGCAACCATTATAACCAATTTCATGCATCACAGAATACTGTACCCCTACCTCCCTCATACAAGGTCCCCCCTTACTCACTAGCCTGTATCATGTGCCTCAGCTATCATTTCCTCAAATCTTCCTCAGGTTAATCTCCTGTTATTTCAAGGCATTTATCTCTCTTGCCCCACTTTCCATCCAAAGCAATTTTTCTCTTCCTTGTTCCTGAACAAATACATCTTTGGCTCATTCTCACATCTATATATCCTCAGGTTAATCTCCTGTTATTTCAAGGCATTTATCTCTCTTGCCCCACTTTCCATCCAATGCAATTTTTCTCTTCCTTGTTCCTGAACAAATACATCTTTGGCTCATTCTCACATCTATATAAAACCTTCTTCTTGCTTCACTTCCCAATAAGGCCTTAGGTTCTTACATCATTGCTCTTTGTTTGTTTGTTTGTTTGAACTCTTTTTCTCATTGCTCCCTTCCCACAGATCCCTTTGACATACAGGTGAAAGTCGGGTGTGAGCTGCACTCTAAAGAAAGCCCAAAAAGCTTCTTCCAGGTAGCGTTTGATGGATCAGATTTCCTGAGTTTCCAGAACACATCATGGATGCCATCTCCAGAGGGTGGGAGTAGGGCCCAGAATGTCTGTGATCTACTCAATCAGTACGAAGGAATTAAGGAAATTGTGTACAAGCTTAACAGAAACACCTGCCCCCGATTTCTCCCAGGTCTCCTTGATGCAGGGAAGATGTATCTACAGAGACAAGGTCAGTTCAGCCCCTTGCTCTAAGATTTTTCTATTCAAGTTTTGCCCCTTTCTACCACATCCTTTAAACTTGAGACGAAGAAGTGGAGAAGAGGGAGAGGGGTTTCTGGGTGATAGTTTCTTAGAGGACAAAAGATAACTGCATATTAATGTGGATCTACATGCCCCTAAGCTGCCTGTGAGCATCCTCATCTGAATACCTTTTGTGTTTTCTGCAGTGAGGCCAGAGGCCTGGTTGTCCAGTCACCCTACCCTAGTATCTGGCCGGCTATCTCTGGTTTGTCATGTCTCCCGCTTCTACCCAAAGCCTATTTGGGTGACATGGATGCGGGGTGAGGAGGAGCAACTGGGCACTAAACGAGATGATATTCTTCCTAATGCTGATGGAACATGGTATCTCCGAGTAACCCTGGATGTGGATGCTGGAGAGGCAGCTGGCCTGTCTTGTCGAGTGAGGCACAGCAGTCTAGGAGGCCAGGACATCGTCCTCTACTGGGGTAAGATTGGAGGTCGGAAGTGTGAGTAGGTGATCCTTAAGCCTAGAGGGTAGGGTAGAGGAAAGTTTGATAATACCAGATCTAGGTGAGGGATCTCAGGAAAAATGAATACACATAATTCAAGGAATAGAGGAGTGTAACATTAGAGACCCACAGATTCAGAAAACTTGGGGATAGATGAGGAATCCTTCCTTGAGTAGGTATGGGGATAGTGACTGAAATAGGATGTTGATGTAACTCATATCCAACACACGTTAAGTAACGACATCAACAGAAGGAGTAGAATCAGCAGTGGGTTTAAAATGGCACCCGTGTATCTCTCCAATATCAACAGGGCACCGCCTTTCCATGACCTTCATCTCCTTGATAGTGATAGTGCCTTTGATTCTTCTGATAGTCCTTGTGATATGGTTTAAGAAGCGCTGGTAAGTTCTTTGTGTTTCCTCATCTCTTCCCAAATGTCTTATTCCGCATTCCCTTTTTTCCTCTCTTAGCTTTTTTCTCTTGATTAATCCAGCTTATCCTCAACCACTACCTCCAGCTTTCCCAGAGTTTCTACCATTTCTATTCTTCCATAGCTCATACCAGGACATCCCGTGAGGCTCCTCACTACGTCTCCCCCTTCATAATGAGAACCCAGGAGCCCAGGAGCAAAGACAACACAGTGATGACATTCTTTCCACTCTCCTTTTAAATGGTTCTCTTTCTGCCTGGTAATCACTTGTTAATAAAAGCCAATTTAATTTTGCAAATCTGCGTGGAATTGATTTCTTGCAATCTTTATTATTTCTAATAGTACTCAAGTTTCAAAACCCATTTCTGACGTCACTTCCACTACAGATGTTCCTTGACCCATAAGTGGCATCTTTCCCTCCTGCATTGCAGTTACTTGTGTCTTCCCCTTACCATTTTTAAGCTCCTTGTGGGCAAGGATCACGACAAAGGTGCCCTTTCTGCTTATAATATGTTCTCAGTGAAAAAGAAAACAAAACAAACAAAACCCCAACCATATACAAGTTGGATTAACTGTCATATTATTTCACAGTATTTTCTCATTATACCCTGTCCTGACATTGTAGCATTTGAAACACTGACACTTCCCTTCTTGTTTAAACGCTTCTTGCTTAGCTAAGAAATTCCAGTCTCCCTTTAGCTCCCCCATTTTCTCCCTAAATCTTTGAAGGAAAATGCAGCTTTTCCCCTTGATACATTTTCTAAATATAATGAGCCAGGTTTTTTGGAGTTGATACATACACAAATAGAGAGTGTAAAAGTCACGTGTGAAGAGTAGTGGGGCATACATGTCACAGAATGGTTAAGAGAAAGGAGCAAGAAGGTTGGTCCTGAGGGTTTGGGTGTGATCAAGGCCAATGATGTATATGGAAGACAAATCCTGTAAAGGGCTGTGCTGAGATAGTCTTGGCTAGATTTTAGTCCCTCTAGGTTTCATTCGTGAATTCAACTTATATTTGTTAAGCACCAAATGAGACAGGCACATACAGTTTCTAAACTGGTGGGGGAGAAAACAACCAAGTTTGTATTTACTGTTTTCAACTTTTTGTTTATTTTTAAAAATTTTAAATCAAGTTTATTGTTGTATAATTTCTAGTAAAATGCATGTATTTTAAGTGTACAATTCCACTTTTTTGCATAAATTTGTATGCCCACATTAACAAGACCACTATCAAGATACAGAACTCTGTAACCCCTCATATCTATTTGTACTCAAATCTACCACCTACTTTTGCAATTACTGATCTGCTTTAAGCCACTTCAGCTTAGATTTATCTTTTCAATGATTTTATTAAGATGGAAATGTAGGTATTTTTTATTTGGATTTTTTTTTTTTTCATTTAGCATATGGGTATAAGTGATTCATATTGCTGAGTGCATCAATAATAACCTGTTCCTTTTTATCGCTAAATAGAATTCCATTTACAGATATACTATATATATATATATATATATATATATA